ATTATTATTATTATTATTATTATTATTATTATTATTATTATTATTATCATCATCATCATCATTGCCTTTTCCTTCAGAAAAAAAAAAAACATTTATTAAACGAGTATTTTCATGGTCGTGAATGTTTATTAAACCACATTACCCATAAAACACCGTCATTTGGTTTCCCAGAATCCTTTGTTTGTTTCTGAAACGAGAAGGTCGCGCATAGCAGTAGTGTGCTGAAGTTTGTACAAAACCAGGCGGTAATCATGCTGAGACAGGCTGTGAGACGATTTACAACATCTGCAGTTCGTTCTTCACATTATGAAGAAGGACCAGGAAAGGTAAGAATATGATCGTTATAAAATGTATTTTTAAAGTAAGCTAGTTTATGACGCGGCCTTGTCGCTGTCCCTAGCCTGCTGTTAGCTTAGCTAGCGTCACTAACTTGGAGGTCATGCTCGCTATTGGTCAATAACGTGACGATAACGCAAAAATAAATGCATTATTAATGAAAACATTCACAGACGACTGACATCTTTCTATTGTTTTAATGCATTACGAGAACAATAACGTTAAAAAAGCTTATGACATTAAGGACTCAGGATAGCATAGAGCTAGCACTGTCAAGCTGTTAATAAGCAAGTTAAAACACAACTTTAAAAAGCCTACCTTACCTTGGACAGATGTGCTGCACATTATTTTTACATTTAATAAAATGTGTGTGTTGTAAGACTATAGCTCATTCACAAATACTGAAAATGGTATTAATGTTTACTCGTGTACTTCCGTCTTCTGCTACTACCTTTCATTCAACCTTTATTTATACCCAAGGGTAAACCTAAAAATTGTCTGGTGTAAAAAAAACAAAACAAAAAAAAATTGAATTTTTTTATTTATTTATTTTTTGGGGGGGGGGGGGTTAACGAAGCATAACACGAATAGTTATTTCACATTTAAAAAATGGTGAGACTATTAGTTACCTATAATATTGAGACAATGATGTGGTCATGCTGTTCTGTGAACACAAATAATTTAAGCTCACTGTGGAACATGAAGCAGAATCAAATCAAAAATATTGAAAATCTTTTTAGTAGCTTAATTTTTAATATCCAAAGATATAAAATATACTTGAAGATTATTATCATTGAACAAATTGTTTGACAAAAGGAGCAGATATAATAAGATTTGTTCTTCTCTCTGCTGCCTTTCATTTTAAATTTCTTGTATTTTTATAGTTTTATGGAATTGTTTTTTTTAAATGAATAAACTTCATACCATACCATAAAAACACAGGCGTTGGTGTCTGAAGTTGGAAAGTTTGAGATCCATACTTTAACACTTTTGGTGTCCAAATAAACAGTTTTAAGCCATATATTTGAACACTATTTTCATAAAGATCCTAAACCGAGTTTTTAAAATATTAAAACTGTGTTTGCTTAATCTTTGGCAATTACAGTAATGTGCCAAAATTCACAAAGTAAAAGTGTGTTTAAGAAACATTTTTCTTTTCCCTATACTAACACAATCATTGTTTCTCAACTACTCCGTTGACCCAATTTAGCAGTTTTCATATTTGTCATTGTGTTTTAGGAGTGCTGGGTGTAATTGCCTAATAAAAATTCATCAGTCATCGTGTCCAAATCCAGTTTGAGTGCTGCATTTTTTTTTTCATCTTTATTTGGAAGAATGTTTTCCATATTAATACACATGCAAATGCATTTTATTATTCAGAATCTTTGTTTAGATTTGTTCACACAAGTCTGTGATATGATGATTTGTCATATAACATAAATACATGCAGACACTTTAAACATTATTCTTGGTTTTGATTTTAAACTGCCAGTGTTAGTAAAATTTTGTAGCAGTCTGCTCAAATAATTCATTGTATTGCAGATAATTTAGTACGCTTTGAGCTGTGGTTATTAAACTTGAATGTGATAGTCAAACCTTTACAATGTTCTCATTCATTAAGTGATTAATCGTTTTATCAGAGATTGTGTAATTTTCTTAGTTTAAGTGCATTTGTCTCTGCAGAACCTGCCATTTTCTATTGAAAACAAGTGGCGTCTGCTGGGCATGATGGTGCTGTTCTTCGGCAGCGGCTTTGCATTCCCCTTCATTATGGTCAGACATCAGATTCTGAAGAAGTAAAAAGACTCAGAGGTTGTTACTCACCCTTTAAGGTAATTATACTTACCATTTTGATCTAGCGTATCTGCTTCCTATTAAAATGTCAGGATGATGTGGCATTTGCTTCAATGTAGGTTGGTGCAGTGACCACGGACAATCAGTCTTTCTCAGCACCTCTTTAGCCTTTTCCTCTTTAGCGTTCCTTTAAATAAATTACCTGTATGTCTGAGAGTGACAGTTATGTGTCAAATGGGGCCAAATTGTACAGATAAGCTCACGTTTATGCAAGTTAATGTGACCGTTCATTGTAGACGTTGATGTGTATCAGGTGGGAGCAGGTTAGAGTTGTTGTCACATTTATCTAAGCTAATGTTTACTAAGAAATTGCTTTTTTTGGCATCAGATTGTATCCAAGTCATTTTCTCACTTTGTGTCTTATGTGCTTGTTTTTCCTGCAGGTTGTCAGCTGGAACATGTTTATCCATGAGAGTTCTAACCGTGCAGAAGAATGGGAACCAGTTAATTCTCTTTGTAAATAAAGTCTCCTAAATATGAACATCTCAACTCCCATTTCGTCATGTTTGGTTTGTTTGTTTCAACATATTAGCCAAGCCGTTCATAAGAAGAAAACAATTTTTTTATAAATCAGGTTTTATTCCTGTTGGGAGTATTTTATAACTGCAGTACTACTTGAACAGGCTATGGGCAGCATTTAGTGGTTTAACCTTTTTATTATGTGAACACAGAAACTGAAGTTCAGAAGTACCTTAAAGATGACTAAACCGTGTAGATTTACTGTATGGTGAAAGGGCAGGGCTATAGACGACATGGTGTAAAAGCTTCTGTTAAACCAGTAATTTTCAAATGGAAACCTTAAGCAAAAGCACAAGGTTGGAAATTTGCATGAGAGAAGTCTAAAGAACTCTCTGACAGGTATTGTTCCCTCACTCTATAGCTGAGCTTTCCCGGTTGAACTCTTCCGGATAACCTTTCTCAGTTCAATTAACCTGGTGCTTCTAGCTATAATTATCCAAGGACAAAGTATTAAAACTGGGTGCTTGTGTCCGCTTAGTTGGTGAGGTGGACTAATGCCTGAAGTGTTTTTATTAAATCAGCAAAAACTGGGTTCTCATTTTGTTGGGAGACTTTGTTTTCTGATTTAAAGAAGGAAAGGGGTACAACTCTCCTGGACAAGATGTTTGCACAAGAAACGACCTTCATATGTGATCTTGGCACACAACTGCTGGCTGGTTTTGAAGTCTTGCAATTGTGATGGCATGTTTATGCCTCTAGGCTTTGTGGATAGAATTACATTCAGAACATGCAGTCTTTGTAAGTGATAAAATTATTAGACATTTGTTGGGGTCAGTGGGCGGTCAGTGGGATGGTGTGATATTAGAGATGTTTTTTCACAAGCTGACCTTTTTGTTAGTAGCTCAAGGATTGAGAGTAAACAGAAATATGACACATCACATAATGACCGACTCAGCCACACGCCAAACATGCAAAACTCAATTTTGAACAGCCTCTTCAGTAAATGCCCTGTTAAAAAGCTAACCTGAGGTGAAAATGTAAGCCATCGCTCGAGCTGACGCCTGTCGCTGTCACTCCATCTGACGTCCTAATAGTCTCTTAATTAACTTGTGTTAATTACATCATTTCTATCTCGGCCTCAAAAACAATATTCAGGATTGTCCATGCAAGTATATAAAGCATCATAATGAAGTCTGATGATCACTATTCAGTTATGATGAGCCAGTCCTCAAGATGACATTTTTGAGCAGGTCGAAAATGTTTGCTCGTTTGCAGAAAAAGATTTCAAGTGTCATCAGAGACGAACAAACCTCTGAAGGGATACTCCATCCAAAGTCTATCCTCTGAGTACAAAACACTCAACTTTACTTGAAAGGTGACTGTAAAAACATTTTGTCTGTTTCATCTGAACCAGTCAGTAAAGTGACTGCAGAAACTTAAACTCCTCTAATATGGCCCTTAATAATCCAAGCACTTCATTCAGTAAGTAGGATGGCATTTTAATGCCAAAATATTTGAAAGTGCCCCTTTTTGTGCTCTGGAGTTGAACAAAACTGCCACCAGCTGCTTCAAATTTGTACAAATGGTTCTCATTGTTGCAGCAGCACTCTGCTAATTTGAGAAAGTCAGTAACATTTAGTCTAGCAGAAGAAAAAAAAGCATTTTAAAAGACACTTTGCTTCCACCGAGTACAGATTTAGACTGGTAAGGACATTGAGTCTCATAGGACGTTCACATTATCAGGGCATCAAGGAGTGAAAAACAAGCCCTCAACAGCAAGAGTTTTTTTTTTTTTTTTTACTCATGGTCATAAATGATCCATTCCCTGCCATTATGCACTCTAACTGGAGCTTTTAGGAGTCCAGGTGGATGCCAGGCTCCAGCAGTGAGGACCACCTACACAGAGGTGTTAGCTGGACAAGGACCAAGCTGCAGTGCAGTGCTGGCATCTTATGAAAAGTACATAAGGGTGAGCTGGCACACAACATTTTGCAGAGGGGGTGTCCGCAGCGGTCTATATCACATCATTTCGACAGGCTTGCCGTGCAGTGTGTCACTGAGTGGTCCCAGTAACGAAGGAGTGGGCAGATGGAAAAGAATATATTACAGGAGAATTGCACATCCAGAATGTCATGTCTTTTGCAGTTTTTTGTGCTGCATTCAGTCTAGAAGTGGGATGGAGAGTGTTTTTAGGTGCACATGTTTTAAAGTTTACCAGATGTATTATTGTGCATCATTATTTAAGCTAAATCTGTTTGTTTTCTACATTTAATTTGATAGTTCTAATCCTTTAAAATGGGGTTCTGAGGAAAGATTATGAGCAGTTAATATCTTACCTGTTGCAGATAGCTATTAGAACGACTTCAGATTGGAGAAATGGGGTTTATTCAGACCAGAATGACAGGCTAAAGGCTAATCCGAAGTGGGGTAAAACCAAAATGAATTACAGTAGTCCCTCGTTTATCGCAGGGGATCCGTACCCTGAAGACCCACGATAAGTGAAAAACTGCAAAGTAGGAATAGCAGTACAAGTAGTTAGTAGTAGTAGTTTATTCTGATCTTATATATATATATATATATCCTCTTTGGTCTTGTTCCTGCTCTGTGCAGCTGTTAACTCATCAGTCTTGTTAGAATTAAACTCTGTTGCTCCAAACTGAGGGTGTTAAACAACTATCTCCAACAGGTGAGACATGAAATGTTCATATCTTTCCCACAGAACCTCACTTGAAAAGATCTGAACTGTCACTTTAAGACTTAAATGAATAGCCAATGAATATCAGTTCTGACTAGATTATTATTCAGTAACTGTATTTATTCAGTAATCATAAAGTGACTGTGTTCCCTGTAACTGCAGCACTGATGACAAACACACGCCTAAAATGTACACTCGTGCTTTTTATTTTCACTTCCATCCATCAAGCTTAAATGTTTTTTGCGGATACATAAATCATTTTTTGTGCAGTCCTTTTTGTCCATTGATTGCAGCATCTGTGGACTGTTCTGCATCTCTCATGTAGAATCTAATTATGGACTCATTTGCACTTCAGAGTGGGTGACAGTGGGCTTAGCTCGGTTTAAAGCTTGCAACGCGATGTTTTATTAAATCCCATCATTAACGTCCAGCCACAGCATCAGTCAGATGTTTTTGTTTGGACCTGTTAGCTGGTGCGAACAGTCTTACAAGTGATTGATGGATATATAAACATTTACCATCTCTGAATGGGAGTGAATGCTTGACACATAATCTACAGGCTAAATTACCCTCCTGGGCACATTAGATGAGCCCTAATCAGCACTCACAAACAACTTACACAGCAGCGTATAATCACACCACCAATCACTCTGCTGCAATGGGAGGATGCTCTCGGCGTGTCTCTGCCATCGAATGAGCACGATGACAGCGAGAGGAGGGGAGCAGCTGTCTGTAGTCGCTCAACAACTCCCTGACACCTCGCTGCAACTCAAGAAAGTTTCAAGGACACGATGAACTCCTTAGTTCCCCTCAAAGCCGCATCCTCTCCCCCCAAACCCAGCTCTGTTTACAACACCTCACCTCAAAGATGCTGACTTGTGGAGAGGCACAGTATTGTCAGTGCAGGAAGATGAAGTGCACACACCTCCTACTTTGTCAAAGTGGGCCTCTGCTGCTTCGACCAGGATTTCCCTGCAATTAGTCCAGAACCTTCAGAGGATGGATGTTCACAAGACTTGCAGTGGTCTGTGCATGTGTTTTTGTATGTCACTGCAAATTAAAGCAAAAACTCAAACGCGACTTTATTGTATGGTGCCAACTGACTCGGGATAAGAATAAAATAAATCAAATGAAATATTTATATTACTCATCAAATTTGGAAATACAATGTGTTGTTTTAAAATGGCCACCACGTGTTTAGATGTTGGCCACAATCAGGATAACTGTTAGTTCATCACTTCTGTCATAATCCAACTTTATTTTTCAAAACCATGGTTGTCCAAACAGCGATCTAGAACAGGTAAGATATTAAATGTTCAACCTTTCACCAGAACACGTCAAAGGATTTCAACTCCATCACTTTAAGGAAACCTGTCCGTGATTTGCGCCAGTGGCAAATGACCAAAATAAGAAAAATATGCATTTATGTTTTATTTATTTATATATTGGTTTATTCAGGCATTCATAGATATCTCAGCCAAAATATGGAAACTATATTAAACTCTGCGTCGCTTCCTGAACACTTTACATCCCAGAACACGTTTCATTTAATATTACAACACTAAATGCTGCCACAGTTCATGATGAAAACTGTTTTATTTTTAAATAAAAGATTGATGAACATGTCATCAAGGAGAGGGAGTGGTGGTGCAGAGGTTAGAGAAGGTGGACCTGTGATCGGAAAATTGCCTGTTCAACTCCTGGTACCAACATCAAAATGTGAGTGGGAAAGGTGAAACACTCACACCTGTCTCCACCCTCATTTGCCCCACTCTGACCACTGAGCAAGGCCCTTAACCCCCACCATCTGCTCCCCCAGGTGCCCTTGATAGCGGCTCTCTGCTCCACACAGAGGGCTGTGGTAGCTCAGTCTTCATGCGAGTTAGTTTGCTGTGGCGACCCCTGAAGAAGGGAACAGCTGAAAGAAGAAGAAAGGGGGGAAAGGGCAGCATAAGCAACGGCTTAGTGCCAGCAGGGCTCCCCCAAGAATTCTTCACTACCCACAAACTGTACATGTTGACACATACAGTTTAGGTGTACTCGTATAAGCAATTATCTAGATAATAATGTGTATGTATTCACAATGGTGAAATTGGCTCTTTGCATTTAAACCATCCACCCCCAGGTGGAGCAGTGACAGTGCTCGGGGAGCATTTGGGGATAGGGTATGCTGCTCAGAGACACCACGAGATGTGCAATGACTGTGAATTGAACCTGGGCCTTTCGGGTACCGAGTCATCTGCCCCGCCTCTACACCATCTCGGCTCAGATTGTAATCATAAAGCAAAAATATCCATATCTTGATGTTTTTATAACCAGAGCCATGATTTAATAC